ATATATACACACACACACACACACACACCCCAATACCAGGCCATAAATTCAAATTTTAAAAAATCTTTTGCAGCTCACTATTAGTGTTTGTAAAGCACTCACCCACAGTAGTCACCATGCAAGTGTAAAGCATTCTAGCACATGTGGACAATCATGAAATTAGTGGCAAGTTACCAGAAGCTGCATTTCAGCATCCCACTCCAGTGGTATAGCTTAGTGATTGGTTTACTCATGACTAATGGAGTAGCATAGAAGGGGTATAGCAGAGATAACCTGGTCAGGATTCAACAAGGTAGGAAGCTAGTCCCATTGACTGAAGCATTCATGGCTCCTACCAAACGCCAGCTAGTGAAAAAACTCCATCTGCTGTTTCAAACCAAACTGAAAATACAGGAAGTAGGTGGTTCACAATTAGATCATTTGCACCACATTGTACCCACAAAGCTGTGTCTTGATTTATAATTAAGGCTATGTTTTAGTCACGGGTATTTTTAGTAAAAGTCATGGACAGGTCACGGTCAGTAAACAAAAATTTATGGCCCGTGATATGTCCATGACTTGTATATATACCCCTAACTAAAACTCAGGCTGAGGGTGCTCTTGGGGAGGGTCTAGGGGTGCCACAGGTGCTGGGAGGGGGTGGCCCAGGACCCACACTGTTGCTGGGGAGAAGGCAGCGGGGGGGGGGGGGGGGGGGGGGGGGCCCGGGGGGGGGCGGGGGGGAGGGGGGGGGGGGGGGGGGGCGGGGCCCGGGGGGGGGGGGGGCATGGTGCGCAGCCTGGGATGCCTGCTTGAGAAGGGTTGGTGGGGCTAGCAGGCTCCCTACCAGGCGGTGTGTTCCTGCAGCTCCTAGCACGAGGGAAGGCTAGGGGGGCTCCCCGTGCTGCCCCCACCACGAGCTCCAACTCCGCAGCTCCCATTGGCCGGGAACCGCAGCCAATGGGAGCTGTGGGGGCAGTGTTGGGGAGCGTGGACAGCGCGCAGAGCCCCCTGGCCCGTCCGCCTAGGAGCTGCAAGGACATGCTGGCCACTTCCGGGGAGCCCCCCCACCCCAAGGTAAGGGCCACCCCGCACCTCAACTCCCTACCCCAACCCCTTCCCACACCCAAACTGCCTCAGCAGTGGCTGGTGCTGCTAGCCCAAGGGCTGCCTGATCTGCTCAGGCAGCCCCGGAGCCAGCCGCAGTGGCCGCTGCAGAAGTCACGGAGATCACAGAAAGTCATGGAATCTGTGACCTCTGTGACAGACACGCAGCCTTATTTATAATCCCTCCATTAGAGACGTGCAGGCACAAACTCATTCTCTGGTTTGAGAGGCTCTTGGGCTCAGAGGACAGACTAAGCAAAGTCTTGAAAGCCTTTGGAGGATGTTTATTGTGATTCTCCCTCCCTGAAATGCCAAGGCGCTCAGCATGTCAAAACCACGTCGATGAGGAATTATTTTCAACCAAGTAGCTGCTATAAATTCCTGACAATTCCTAATCAATGTTTTTTGCAGGCAAATGAGTACAAACTAAATTCTAGATCATGGGGCAGGATAATATTAATAATAAAACCTCCTACTTCATACCAGAGTGCGATGTAAGGTTCTTCTGAAAAAACAGACTTCATGCCTCACTTAACTTGTGTTTATCCAATCACAAGATGATTTGGCACTTAAGCTTTCATAGGATTGTTTCTATTGATCTATACTACGAGGGCAAATGGATCCCTCTGTTAAATCCTGTTTTTACAGGGGTTACTGTAGTAACTGTCTGACATTATGAAGACCTCCCATTGCTTTTATCATGTCCTTTTTAAAAAGATTTTTAACCTGAGTGGCCCAGCACTGGGGGGGGGGGGACACCCTAGGGGGCAGTTAGGGGGGGGGGTCTCAGGAGGGGATGGTCAGGGGACAAAGAGGGGGGGGGGGGGGGGGAGGGGGTGGGGGTTCTGAGGGGGGCGGGATGTGGGTGGGGGGGAGGGGGGGGGGGCAGGGGGCTTGTACTCATCGGGCGGTTCCCTACCAGGTCTTCAGTGGCACTTTGGCAGCGGGTCCTTCACTCGCTCCGACGTGCCACCAAAGACCCAGAGCGAGTCAAGGACCCACCGCCAAAGAACCGGTAGGGAACCGGTTCTTAAGACTTTGGCAGCTCATCACTGCCTTTAACCTGTTTTTTTTAAACTGACTATAGTTTAATTAATGGGCTGCCCAAAGTGGTAAGATAAATTATAGGCATGCTATAGAGTGCTATATGCGGCAGGAGGGCTCCCCTATTTTGTGCAGTTTATGTTTTTTGAAATGTGAATACTATTTTTTCTGAGCAGCTAATGGTTTCAATTTAAAAACCAGAAATACAAGGAGTTTTAACAGAAAGCTTTTAAATATGCAGTTGGTCTCCAAATCACTCTGGGATACGCAAGAGCCCTTGACACAGGCTTCCCCTCAGTAATGGTAGATATTTATGCGGCTGGTAAACCTTGCTTGAAAACCCACTGAGGAGGAAAATGCAAAGGGTAATTTAACACTGAAGTTGAAAATAACTACTGCAAATAAACCTTTGCAATGGAGCTCAGGACACAGGAAGGAAAAGTTTTCATTATCTATCACAGCTACTCTCCCCCCACATACTCCTCTCTGTAAAACAATGTCACCCATCCAGTCCAGTTCAACAGTGGGAAGCAGCTCAGTGACCAGTGTACAACTACAGTGAGAGACGCTGAAGGAAACCGAACACTCAAACTGCAGCACTCGCACTGTGTTTGGTGCAGCATCCAACTCATTTCCACTCTCAAACTGCCCTTCTTTATTTGGTCTGAAATACAGGAGGCATAAACCTTAAGCCCCCCTTCATCTTGGCCGCATCTACCCCCACCCTACCACATGTGCAGGAGTAGGCAATCAGTAATCCAGAAAGTTACTGGACATCAAGCCACTACCTGTCAACTGGAGCTACCAAAAGGAGGCAAAATTGGCAGTGTCAAGGGCATAGCACCCCCCCCACCCTTCTCTGACCATGACTAGCGAGTTGCTTGATTTATTTGCTACAACAGAGAAGTTGTGATTACTGTAGAAGTGCAGCTATTACCCCACCCATGATCCTCTGGTTCCAGGCTCCCAGCATATATATAAAAGGGAAAAAGATGTGTGTTGAACAACAGGGGAGAGGGGAACCAAATAAATTCACTAGGTATCCCCCTCCTAGAGCTATGGTCTCTTCCCAAGAGCGTGCTGCTGAATCACCCTAGTTAGGGTGGTGCTGGATTGCTCCTTTGTGCACTCAGAGTGGACTTTTCACACAGGCAGCACAAGGCTTTCCAATCTAGCTGGAGACAGATGTGAGCCCTTGGTCATCTTGTGGAAGCGTTCTTGGAGCCGTCACATGAAGCGAGATGAGAGGAACAAGTAGCATCTTCATAGAAAGGCAAGACAGACCACACATCAGCCACATGTCACTCCTGTCCAATCCTATTGACTTTTTTTTTTTTTTTTTTTAAAAAGGGTCTGGGGTTTCCTCTTCACTCCAGGGTAGCTAGTTCTTCCATGAGCTCCTCTTTCTCCCGCTGCAGTTCCTGCACCCGCTGTTTGTTCTGCTCCAGTCTGTCCTCCAGCCACTGCAGGAGGGGACCACTGATAGCAGACATCTGGCTGCAGAGATTCTTGGTGAACACTGGAAAAGACACAAAACAACATGTCAGCGCAGGCGGAAGAATCTCTCACCAGGCTGCAGAATTGCAAAGCTTAAGCAGAAAGGTTTCACAACAGTATTTCACATTGAGACATCATGGATCCTCACAGGAAACAGCTACAAGTCCAAGGGGGAGGAGGGGAGAATACTTATAAAAATTATTTAAACCTGAGTTTTAGATGCCCTTTGGGGACATACAATAAAAATTGACATGTAAACAGGCCTAGTGTAGACTGATTGTTTTGCATAGTTAAGGCTGCGAGTTTGTCACGGAGGTCATGGAAGTCACGGATTCTGTGACTTCGGCAGCAGCCACTGCCCTCCCTCCCCCCCCTCGCGCCCCCGCCAATAGCAGCAGGAGTTTGGGTGCGGGGCTCAGGGCTGGGGTGCAGGAGGGGGTGAGGGCTCCGGGCAGCGCTTGCTTCGGGGGGCTCCCCAGAAGCGGCGACATCCCTTGGCTCCTAGTGGGGAGGCACAGCCAGGGGGCTCTGCGCACTGCCTCCACCTGCAGGTACCACCCCCGCAGCTCCCATTGGCCATAGTTCCCGACCAATGGGAGCTGTGGAGCCGGCGCTCAGGGAGGAGGCAGCGTGCAGAGCTGCCTGGCCATACCTCCGCCAGAGCTGAGGGATGTCGCTGCTTCTGGGGAGGCATGGAGCCGGATAGGGAGCCTGGAGCCCCACCAACCACCCTCCCAGCACCAGCGGGATCCCCCCTCCCCCCCCAGGCTGCTGCCCCTCTCCCCGACACCCGCAGCGCCCCGCCGGGGACCCCTTCCTCTCCCCAAGCACCCACGGCACTCCCGGGCCAACCCTCTCCCCAAGATTTAGTCAGGGGTATATAGTACAACTCATGGACAGGTCACAGGCTGTGAATTTTTGTTTACTGCCCGTGACCTGTCCGTGACTTTTACTACAAATACCCGTGATTAAAACGTAGTCTTATTCATAGTCAATAGGGGAAAGAGTATCTTATATAATGAAAACATATTTTACACTGAAAGTTAGACATGGCATTGGCCACTCTTGTGGTAGAACACCACTCTATCCTATGGAGATTAGAGTTAAATGCTATGGAACTAATGAGACCTAGTTCCCCTCAGTGATGTGTGACCACACAGAAGTCTACGTTGGTGTAACTCACATGCGGAAGCACCAGTAGGTGTCCACAGGAATATGGATTGGCCCCCTTTACCCTGATTTCAATTCTGGACCAACACAGGTCTAAGATAACCCCTGAGGAAATTCTGCGCCAAAAAAAATAAAAATTCTGCACCCAGTATTTGAAAATTCTGCAAAATTTGTCAATAAATAAATATGGAGGCTCCCCACTGCTATCCTGGAGCACAGACCACTGGCTACATGGAGGTGGGAGATCTCCCTGCAGCCCCTTCCTCTCCCCCGCACCAAGGGGTACGGACTTGGTGGTGAGGCTGCACCCAACCTTGACACAGCGCAAGGGCCGGGCCTGACCCAGAAACATCCCGGGGCCCTCCCTCTCCGCACCAGGCACATCAGGTATGGACTGGCAGGCTCAGTCGTGAAGAGACTTAGTGTGGGGTGATCAGGTTCTGTATGGGGCATTCTGGGTGTGGGCAGCTCAGTGTGGGGGCCAGATGCAGGGAGGATCTGGATGCACAGGGGTCAATGGGGGCTTCCATGTACAAGAGCAATGGGACTCTGCAGGGAGGTCCTGGTGAAGGTGATTGGGGCTCAGCGGAAGGGCGGGGGGGGGGGAGAGAAGGGGGCCTGGGGCTCAGCAGTGATTTACCTCTCCACCAGCTGCTCCAGGCCCCCGAAATAATGCACCTGAACTGCTGGAGAGGGGCTCATGGCTGTTCTTGCTGCTTCCCTTTGCTTCCTCTTCTTATGTTTCCCGTCAGAAAGTCATTTTTCTGAGGGGAAGCTAATAAATCTGCGGGGGCCATGAATTCCCCCAGGAGTAATCTTTAAGATGCATCCATACTACAGTACCCTGTGTTGTTCCAACACCAAGTCAAATTCTATAACGGTTTAAAACCAAATGGATAAACTGAAGGAGGCCACCCAGTTCATTCCATTTGTGATTTAGCCCACATTAGAAGTCAGTTTCCCCCACCCTCCAAACACCAGAAATGTAACGAATACTTTGATTCACTACTGAACTCCCCTAGCCCCCAGTATAAGAACGGACAAGTTTGAATGTCAGCCAAGCTGTGGAGCAAGACAAACTACATGGCAAGATCAAAACATAGTGCTAAACTTGGGTGAAGTAATCTGTTCACAGGCTGGCTCAATGCTGAACATCTCCAAGTAGACACATGGTGATACACATTGTGGTCTACTGCCCTCTATAGACGGACCCAACATTACCATTTTTCAAGACCACAAGGTGACTCATATTTCAACTCACAGTCCAGCATCCTTATTCCCAGAAGAGGAACCCTTACCTGAGCCATTGTGAATCTTGGTTACAGAATCTAGATGGGTGAGGCTAAGGGAAAGAACAGAACACAGCTGGTGACAAGACAGCAGTGAACTGAATATTAGGTGAACCTGAATTACTGAAGACAGCCACCTACAAAAGTGTAACACCAAAGGCACTTTGGAACTACTCACTCTTACTTAATGGGAGTTCCACTGCATTGATCACACCGCATCAAACCATGTATTATAATGAGTATCATGCATTCTCCATGCTGAACTCCACAGACAGAGGCTTATGACAGGAGGGTGGTAATCCTACTAGCATTTGGTCTTATTTCTCAAATACCTTCCCTTTTGATCAGCCATTTTCACTCCTATCACACTTGGATAACCATGATCATGAGAGGATCATGCAGTTGCCTTAGTATAAGCATCACTGTCATATTATGCAGGCCCCTTACCCTTTTCTAGGCTAGTAGAAGAGTTGCTAGCTGTAGCCTCTCCATCTCTGGGAGTGGGGCCTGAGATATATTCCACTAAGCAAGGAGTTGCAGTCTTGTCAGGCTTACAGATGAAAACTTTGGAAGAATTTTTTGAAACTAGTGCCCCTGCAGAGGCACCTCAGGGAGCAGGAGTCATTAGCCAGACATACAAACACATAGGATAAAGAGTAGAACTTTAGGACTGAAAGCTAGCTTCAAGGCCCCGCATGATACTAGGTGTAGCTACCTCTATTTCTTTCTACACTTGTGATCTGCTCAGGATAAAGGACTATGAGGGTCAAGTATATTAACTTTAAAAGCTATTGTCATCAACTAGACCCTCTGGCGCTGTGGGACCCTGACTCCCCCTACCTGTGAATTCTCCTGTATGCATCTTGCTCCTCCTGGCACAAGATCTTGGGCAGTTCCACCGCCGATTCCAGGCACACTTTGCCAATGGTGTCATGGGGAACAACATGAATAGGAATTTCAATCCTCTCATACCTGCAAGATGATCATGTGCAAGTTACTGCCCCTACCCTTGTGGTCTGCTGCTTTAGACAGTCATATATTCCATACAGCAGTAACGGCTTGCCCAACAGTGACATCACCATAGCTTTGCTGCCGGGCAGGCTTGCTCATGCTGACTGACAGTCGAGAAGCAGTTTGTAATGGTACTCATTACCCAGTTTAGGAATGGGAAAAGAGAGTAGCTAGGAAGTCAGCATTGGCGACAGCCCCTGATAAGCCGTATGAACACTAAGGCTCCTATGGTTTAGATTCCCCTTTAGAAATTTGTCCACTTTCAAGCAGAAATGAGACCTCCTTTAGGCTTCCATAATTACTGGGATTAACACAACATTTAGTTCTATGTTCAGATGATCAAACAATAATAGTACTACTCATTTAAGTTACCAAGGAGAGCTGACAATTAAAAGGAGACAAAAGAGACTGATCATTTCTCTCCTGTGAGATGAATGTTAAGAAGCTTTTCAGACAGTACTTACTCTGAGCTCTTTTGAGCCTGAATTGACTGGAAACAGGTGTAGAGTATCCGGCCCGTCTAAAAGAATCAGGAGAGATAAACATCAGACTATGGTCAATGAGAGCTCACCTGAAATCCAAACTTTCAAATAATACTTTCTCTGAGGGTTCAAATGTACCACTTTTTGGTGAGGGAGGAGGAATGAAAAATTCTTAATAAGCAAATACTGAGACACTCACGCAGTGGTTCTCAAACTTTTGTACTGGTCACCCCTTTCACATAGCAAGCCTCTGAGTGCGACCCCCCTTATAAATTAAAAACACTTTTTTATATATTTAATACCATTATAAATGCTGGAGCCAAAGCGGGATTTGGGGTGGAGGCTGACAGCTCGCGACCCCCCCATGTAATAACCTCGCAACCCCCTGAAGGGTCCCGACCCCCGGTTTGAGAATCCCTGCACTACAGACTATATTAACTATCATATGAAAACTCTTAAATCAGAACCATCTGTTTAAATCAACAAAAACCTGGAAAACCTGGTCAAAGGCAACATTTCATTCCCAGTTCATCCCAACCGTTAGCCTCTCACAGGGGACAATGATGTTAGACAAAACACTCTGAACTAATTAGACACAACAGGCTTGAAAGTCAGGACAAAAAAAGTCTATACTGAATGGAATGTGTTATTGTGGTGCAGTAAGTTACTTTTTGATGCACACCATTCTGTCTGGTCCCAGAGCTGAAACACCAGCAGAGCTATGAAACAATCTATAGGCTGCAGAATTCTACTGGGGGAATTTTCAAATACACCAACCCTGAAAACTATCATTTCCCATCAAGTTTTCTTGCTACATTTGCCAATTATAAATTGGAGCTAAACACTAGTTTGCTTCCTCCAGAGCATCTTCTCTAACCACATTCAACTGTAGCATTGTGACCAAACCAGCCTGGAGATTAATTCACATCTGTGCTGCATTTACATTGATTACATTCCAGCAGGCCCCTGACCCAACTCCAGAGTGAACCCTTATTTCAGATACCATTCAGGGTTAAACGTAAGACTTCACATCTGCATCAAAGCTGAAGCTTCAAACTGGCATATGAAGGGTTTCTCTCCATTTGCAAGTTGCCTACCTTTGTGTTCTTGTCCTCAATGAAACAGGAGAAGATGAGCCCCACAAAGCCCTGGTCCATCATCTGATACATGGCTTGAGTGCGAACATCTGCAGGTGTGAATGAAAACAAAATAAACAGGCTGTTGCTAAGCAGTGAAGGACTGTGCCCGTCACCTGAAGCGCCAGGCAAAGACTTGCCACCTTTCCAGATAACGCTCTTTATTTTCATTCTAGTCAAATGATTTTTTTTGGGGGGGGAAGGTATTTTAAAAGAATAGCTCTCCATGTCCAAAAAATAGCCAGCTTTAAAGGAATATTTAAAAGTTTCCAGTAAAGATCTAACATAAAACAAGGTTAAAATGCTAATGTTCTATCTTTAAAATCCTATATATAAAATATGCAATATGAAATAATGAAGTAAAAAGTCAGCCTGATAACATTACCCCGGGGGAATTCTGTGCCAAAAAAATTAAAAATGCTGCAAAAAATTAAAAATTCTGCACAATTCTGCCTATTTTATTTGTCAAAATAACACAATATAATTACACCAGTTTCAATTATTTTTGGTCATTTATTTCAAAATACCTGTCAGCAAGTATGTCTGTAACAATACAGACAACAAAAAAGATTCAGGAAATGTTTTTTGACAAATAGATTCCTTACTAGGCATATTAATACAGAATGCTGAGTAATAATTCATTTGAACTACAATACAGAACCGTCTTTATGACACCCCTCAGAAGCAATGCAAAGGCCTGTGGGAGTCAGGGGTAATGGAGGAGCTGAGGGAGAGGGAAGTAAATTGCTGGGAAGGAGCCTGGGTGTGAACTTGGAGAGTTGTTGGGTATGGGTGGGAAAAGTATGGGAGGCGGGGAGGGACTGTTAGGGAGCTTCCCCCATGCAGACCCTGGCTGACCCCTAGCCGCTCCCATTCAGTCAGGCACATCTGCCCCGTCCCTATGTGTTCCTGTACCCCTATGTATCCTTGCACCTCTTGTCCATGTGTCCCTCCACCCCCACTCAGACACCCACTCACCTCCATCCTCAGTGGCCCTGCACACCCTCCCCCATCCCCATGTGTCTCTGTGCCCCCACCCAACCACCCTGTCCATATGTGTCTCTGCACACCCCCATCTCCATGTGTCTGTGCCCCACTAAGCCATCCCTGTCCCTATGTGGCTCTGTACCCCCACCCTGTCCCCATGTGTCTGTGCCCCCACTCAACCACCCCGTGTCAATGTTTCCCTGCACCCCCCCATCCCCATGTGTCTCTGTGCCCCCACTCAGCCACTCTCTGTCCCTATGTAGTTCTGCACCTCCTCTCCCATCACCATGTGGCTCTGCACCCCCTCCCCCATCACCATGTGGCCCTGCACCTCTCTCCTCCCTGTGCCTCCACTCCCATTCTGCCTCCCCAACTAGCCCTTATGAGCCCCTGTCTGACCCCTCCAGCACCCCATGCTGTCTGTCTCCCCATAGCCCCTGTCTCCTGACCTGGGCCAACAGGTGCTGCGAAGAAGGCAGGCTCTTTCTCTGCCCTAGATGGCCAGGAGCTGCTGCTGCTGTGTTCTATCACCACAGTGCCCTCTGGTGGGCAAAAGGTGGAAATGTAGCAACATTTCTGTGCAGAAAAAAGCTTCTGCCGAAAATTAAAAATATGCGTGGCTCATAATTATGCACATGTGCAGTAGCACAGGATTCCCCTGGGGAGTATAACATGTATCCAGACAGGCAGATCAAAGCAGTGACCAGACACCCAAGCAGATTTCAACAGCTCTTTTGAAGAAGCATTGTTCTCTTGTTATAGCATACACATCCATGTACAGTAGAACCTCAGAGTTAGGAACAACAGAGTTACAAACTGACCAGTCAACCACACGCTTCATTTGGAACTGGAAGTACACAATCAGGCAGTAGCAGAGCCCCCCCGGGCATGCAAAAAAAAATAAATAAAGCAAATACAGTACAGTATTGTGTTAAATGTAAACTACTAAAAAAAGATAAAGCATATTTCTTCTGCATAGTACTGTTTCAAAGCTGTATTAAGTCAATGTTTAATTGTAAACTTTTGAAAGAACCATAAAGATTTGTTCAGAGTTATGAACATTTCAGATTTACGAACAACCTTCATTCCCGAGGCATTCATAACTCTGATGTTCTACTGTACAACTAGAAAAAATAAAGACATCCAAAGAGCTCTGAGTATCTCCTTCTGTTCCTTGGGTTTCTGATTACAGCTCTGAACTTCCTGTCTTGAAGAACACCTAGAAACAGACTTTGCCTACTTTAGGAATCCAGAGGACTTCCCATTTTAGATAATTTGAAGGTAGGGAAAAATGTGGGATTAAAAACTTCAACAGTATCACTTTAACAAAAAAAATTGGACAAAGTGGTATTGTTCACAATGAAGCACATGTCCATATGAAGCTCTGGGCTGAGATACTCCTTACCCACATGAGACGGCCAGACAGTTATGTGTGGATGAGAATGATACCAGCCCACAACCCTCATGGGACGTCCTGTAATCTCAGCCAATCTGTGTGTCAGTCAAGGTACTTTCAAAACAGTGATAGAGCAGAAGAGACTATATGTCCCTTGTGCAAGTTAAATAACCATGGGGCAGAATCCAAACATGGCCCTCAAGGGATAATTTGATTTTAGTACATTAAAGGGAAGAATGACAGGTGATGGTGTGTGTTGAAACAGTCTTCCTCATAGCCACATCCTCACAGATGTAACACTTCCTTGAACAGAAGCAATGTGCATTTGTACATAGAAATATATGACAATTGCTAGTAAGCTACCCAAAGAATCGGACTCTTGCCGTTAAAAAGATTACATGTAAAAAGGGCTTTTCTAGTGGGGGAGTTTTCAGATACACCAAACCTGAAAACACAAGCCTATTAACCTTTCATTTGCTACGAAGTTTTCTTGCTGCATTTGCCAATTCTAAAAGTGAAAGGTGAGCTTTCTTCAAAATACAAAGGCAATCTTCAACTAAAACTCCAGGGATTAGTTATAATACTTTGGGTGTTAGTCTAAACATTCTCTCCTCTATTTGGCACTGGTGAGGCCTCATCTGGAATACTGTGTCCAGTTTTGGGCCCCCCACTACAGAAAGGATGTGGACAAATTGGAGACAGTCCAGCAGAGGGCAACAAAAATGATTAGGGGGCTGGGACACATGACTTATGAGGAGAGGCTGAGGGAACTGGGCTTATTTAGTCTGCAGAAGAGAAGAGTGAGGGGGGATTTGATAGCAGCCTTCAACTGCCTGAAGGGGGGTTCCAAAGAGGATGGAGCTAGGCTGTTCAGTGGTGGCAGACGACAGAACAAGGAGCAATGGTCTCAAGTTGCAGTGGGGGAGGTCTAGGTTGAATATTAGGAAAAACTATTTCACTAGGAGGGTGGTGAAGCACTGGAATGGGTTACTAGGGAGATGTTGAAATTTCCATCCTTAGAGGTTTTAAGGCCCAGTTTGACAAAACCCTGGCTGAGATGATTTAGTTGGAGTCGGTCCTGCTTTGAGCAGGGGGTTGGAGCAGATGACCTCCTGAGATCTCTTCCAACACTTATCTTCTATGATCTTCTCTACCCATATTAAAAACTGTAGCACTGAATATATTTCTGACAAAACCAAGTGATCAAGAACAATGGGTAATTACAATATGGTTCCATCACATAATTCAAAAAGTGTGGAAAGAGACTGCAGCAGTGGAGAGCTGTAGCACAGCCTCCCAGGCAGAGTATGTGAAAAGGTGGTAGGCATCTTTATATTAACTACAATAAACCAAGGGTGGTACTGAAACCATACGGGTTTGAGGTTTAGAAACCTTGTTGATAAAGCTTCCTACTGAACACGGCCCTTTCTGGCTACAGTCGCTGTAAAAGGATATCTCTGCTTCAGTAGAAGCAGCTGAAAGCTGCTCCGGAGAAATCTCCACTCGATCCTTCCTCTTATCTGAACGGCGCAGGATAATCACAGAATGAATATGAACAATTCTGCTGGTGTCAACCTAATAATAAATGAGGGAGCAAGAATCACTCATTTCTCTCAGTGAACCAACTTCTCAATGAGAGTGCTGCTATCACGTCTTTACTAAAAAAGCATGCTTTCCAGCTTAGATCTCTTAAAACATAGGGATAGGTTTTTCAGTGGGTTACTTATTCTAGGTTTTCACTTCTGAAACCAGGAATTTAAAATTCTTGAAGCTATGAGCTTAGGGTGTCACACCAATCTCACAGCTGAATTGGCACAAGTGGCT